CCCCCACCCCCCCCCACCCCCCATTCAAAGGGGGGGGATTGCAGCGCTCCTCTCGACGAAGCCTTTGTAATTGCAGCCTTCCTATTCCCAACACTCGCCGCATGCACTCAGCCAACAGAACGACAAACTTGGAACAAAGCAAATTTCCGTGCACCACACGTGAATTCTGCCGAAACCTCTGCCGTCTCCTCTTGTCCAGCCCTTCTAAAATACTTACTCAACCTCACTCAACCTCAAGGCGACCAAAAATCACTGTCGACAAACTGTGTATATTTGTTGCCCGCCATTTTCCTATGCTCTCCGTCTCAAGCCGATCGCCTCCCATTACTCGGGGGCCCCTCCCCCCTCGTAACAGTTCGTCGACACATTCGCGTGGGGTCCCATTAAGAGGATTGGCAGTACGTATGGTGGGTGGTATGTCTGCACCGCGGCCATTCGCGCCCTCTCGCGCCCCAATTGTCGCCCCCCTTAGTTGTGTATAGCGCTGGGCTCGGTGTGTTGAAGTTGCTGTGTGCCGAATACACACCGTGGTCAGAAGGATCAATCTCTGCCGTACAGGCCTTCACGCAAGGCAAGCAACGCACGAGTCCATCATGGGCATGGCCAGCCCGCCAAGCAACACACGCACGAGAGCTGCCAACGCTCACCGAAGATGCACGAAATAGAGAGACAGGTCTGCAAGCTAAGCAAGCACAAACCCTGCTATCAAAACCCAACACGGTGAGCATAAACCGGTTTCGGCACATCGGTGGAATGAAGATTGTGTGCAGGTGAGGATACCACATTTGATGAGGGGATACTTCAGCGATTCAACAATTCTGAAGTCTACGGATTTGATCCGACGCCAAGGTCTCATGCCCTTAGTTGGGCTCACACTGCGCTCCACGTAAATCTCTCTATCAGGTCTCAGGATCATGTTCAGAGACGTGTCGGAGATGGTGGTCTTCCCTCGGACCGCTTTCATTTCTTCCCGGTCGGACTGGGCGCGCGCTGAGACTGGCCTGATGAAGTTTATGCTGCCAGCGAATCCGTCGTATGTGTCCCTCATGCCGAAGAAGGGAGCCATCCAAGGGCTTAAGGGAGCTAAGGATCCCAAGAGAGAGGTCGCCGTTTCCCTTTTGGATTTAAAGTCAATTGTTCGTATGTGTGGGCAGATATTTTGAAGCTCGACATCGAGGGAAGTGAATTCCCTCTTCTCCAAAAGTTGCTTGAACAAAGACATGGCATTCTCACATCTACGACTCAGCTATTGGTTGAATGACATCATAGGTCAGACGGCAGAAGACTCTTCAGGTTCACATGATTCAGTCGATGTGTCATAGGCTTCACGAGGAGGGACCTTTCAGTTGTTGGAGAGACTCGAAATGGAAATAGGATTCAAACTAATCCACACGACACAAAAGTATTGGGATTATCAATCGCTAGCCTTACATGATGCACTGTCTCATGCCAATGAGTACAGGTTCCTCTGGGCTGTGTAAGTCAGATGGAGTAGGCGATATACAGCAGCGTACACGTCAAGCGTGAATGCTCACTCGCTATTATGGCTTCAATATATTATGGAGGACCACTTGCAAGTTGTCGGGGAATGCGAACAATGGCCGAAGCAGCACACAACCACTACATGCACACACAACGAGCAGAGAGTCCCAACTTTTCAGTCGGGACAAATTGTGTTTCTTCCCGATGAGGCCACCAATGCATTAGTGTCCTTACACTGTGATCGAGAAAATGACGTCTCATTATCGTGTCGTCCGTCTCCGGCATAGTTCAATAAGGGACAACTATTCCGTGCTGTCACGGGGAAGTATGGAACAATGAGAAGCTATATTGTGTCTCTTTTTTTCTGGCTTTTTTGCCGTCCCCCCGTGCTCTTGAGCCGTCCAGGTATGAAGCGGTGTTGCCGCTCACAGACGCCACAGAGACCGCTGCGCCATTGTTGGCGGTGCAGCTGCCAAGGAATCCGTAGGAGCTTACTTACTGTGACAGCGAGTTGGATCATGTGAGTGTAAAGTGCATGTGCACAACATCGGAAGCTGTGTCTCGCTGCATCCTTCTGTAGGGGTCTGTCCGGAGAAAGACAGATCGTGCACAAGTACGAGAAGCACAAACTGGCGCGACAGGTGAACGCCATCGTTTGTGCCCGTCCCTGGTCGGACACGATGGACAGTCCCTCTGTCTCTCCATCCCCCGTCATCTGTATACATACAGTCAGACCGCGCAAGTGGGGCAGTACAAGGCTGACCCACTCATGCAACTGACCCGCTTGTGCGCTCTACCGAGGTGACCACTTAATTTCTTTTTTTGACTAGCTCAAGTTACTAAGACGGTGAAACACAGTATATTCTCTCACTCATTCAATCAGTCCTTGGACGGCTGTGAGAGCCCTTGGATGTCTCCGAATCTTTGATTCATCGTTCGTCTCCACATACGCCACTCAAAGTGATGCGATTTGACCACTTTAGCAGGAAGAATCGTCGTCAGAGACATGGAATAGGCGTCATCAATATGGTGTCCGAACGGGTACCATCACTGCATGCACATCTGGAGACACGGCACTAAACTATCTGCATACACAGAGGCCAGATTGGTTTCCGAAGGTCCCTCGTGAGAGGATTGCCTCCTGAGCCCCTTCAAGAGAATGGATCTCGTACAACACCTCCTCCTTCAGAGCAACCACGCGGCGGCAGCTTTAGCCGCTGCTGCCTAGGGTCAACGTGCAGGAGCTCACTCAATGCATACATCCATGTCTCGGCATCCATTGCCAACACTCTCACTGGGGAAAATGTTCGAGAACTCAGATGAGTCCCTGGCAAGCGCTCAGGATACACAGAAAGCTTTTACCCGTCGTCTTTTGCATGAGGCTGGCCGGGCTTGGCGGCCAACGGAAGGGTAGTAGAAGGCACATAGCGGTTTAAGCTCTTCCATCCTGACGCGCACGGAGTTCTTCTCATATTACAGGCAGCAGGTCCTGGACCATGTGCGGACACACTCACAAAAAGCAATTTCGATGGACTGAGACTCTCTCGTATCTCATGTCTGCATCTTTCTACAGGACGATGATACAGAAAAGTCCAATTTGGCTGTACAGGAGGTTCCTGCTGCAGGTATCGCAGAAAGCACTTGCGCACCAGAGGTGATAGGCTTGACACAGTCCAATTTGGCCGCGAGTGTTCCGCCTCTGCTGTACAGGAAGTTCCACTTGCAGGTATCGCAGGAAGTACTTGTGCCAGGGATCTTACTCGCGTGCTCGTGTTGGCAAATCTATCCTTTGTGCAGTACCACAGGCGATTCTTTGACCAAGTGCCGATGTTCAGGTCCAAATTGAAGAAAACGTGACAGTTGATCTCTGATCACTGATTTCATGTGTTGTTGTTGCAGGGATCAGCCGGATCATTTCCCGTCTTTGGTTGTGAGCCATCTCGTGTGTCGCGTCTACATGCCAGCAGACTACATTTGTGTCAAGGTGAACACAGACAGAAACACGAGTGCGCGCACATGTTTCTGTCTGTCCCTTTCCAGGGCGATTATGGGGACGAGATGTACTTCATCGAGGTGAACATTCTTCGTTGGTATATCCTCCAGCTCATCACTCTCCCCTTTTGTCTTTCGTTCTGTTTTCAGGAGGGGAAAGTACTGATCTACTCGGCAGATGAAAGCAGCATCCTTCACGTACGCACCCAGCACGGCATACAAAACAGACGCCTGCATTTTCATTTTAAAAGCATACCTCCATTTAGTCACTCGGTCCTGGCGATTTCCTCGGCGAGCTGTCATTGATGAGGGGACAGATGAGGAGCTGCAGCGTACAGGTACAAAGCCGTCCTACCCGTGCTCTGTGCCCTTCTACGTGCCGTCCCTTCGATGTCTCAGGCTGATTCGTTCTGTCTCGTGCTCGGCCTCAAAAAGCAGCACCTAGATCGGATCCTGCAAGCATTTCGAAACTTGCATCAGAGCTACACAGTGTTGCTGGTGAACAAGCAGAAGTACACTCAGACGATGTGCTATTCACCATTCTGTGCTGTGTGTTCAGACGCACGTCAAATCATCATAGATGCATTGCAGAAGGTCCATAGAACTCTGTGTCTCGCAGATGCTCGTAAGGGACAAACAAATGTGCACTGCCAAGAAACACAAACAAATGCGCAAGCGGCTTGCGTGTTGGGCTTTTCTAGAACTTCGATTGCCTGTCCAAGAAAGGTTCTCACTCGACCCATTCTTGGGCCTTCGTGAGTGTGTGTGTTAATGTGATTGCAGGTGAGTTTGGTGGCCAAGTACCACAGCCGACAACCGGTGAAAAGATGATATGCTGACGCCCTTTCCGAAGGTTTTGCCGTTGCTTAGTCAGTGTCTGCTCTCTTGTGTACATCTATTTGTGATATGTATCGCACTTATACGCATGTGTCACCCTTTTGACGGTCATGTCTTCCAACAATCTCTCGGTCTGAGGAAGACGGAAGTGATGTGGTCTGAGGAAGACGGAAGTGACCGAAGAAAAAAGGGAACAGATGAGGTCCAGACGCCGGAAGGAGAACTCGTGTGGAAAACACCATAGCCGCGAAACCCAATTGCACAATTTATAAATGTGGGGGAAGATCAAAGTGATACGTCACCACTACCTCTGAACAGAACTTTCGAAGAGGAGACCGTGCTTACACAGGCGGCACGAACAACTTAAACAAGCTATGGATGATGTATTTGGTGAAGGTCTCACCCAGCTGTATATGTACATAACAATACGCACATAACAAGCAAAGAGTACTAGGCAAGACACTTGTCCCTCGGCTCTTCAGTCAGCACAACACCTCGGCGAAAGCGATTCTTCGCACAAAACCTCGGCGAAAGCGATTCTTCTTCCTTCGACTCAAGAAGCCACAAGTTGTCCTTTTGTAGTCGTTTCTTCTTCGCATCACGCCCGATCATCCAATTAGCCTGGACAAGCACAACCTCCTGGCGTTCGGATGGTGTCAAAAGTTCAGAGCGACGAGACTGGGCAACTTTGAGAAACGCGCGTCCTGGAGGGAATAGCTTCTGAGGAAGCACCTCTATCGTGAGCCTCCGCCGCATGCCTTTCACCGCGAGATTAAGCCCTTTCTGGAGAGAATCCAGTGGAGGGCTGTAAACTACGCTGTGCAGCCCCCTGTACTCAAAGTTTCGCCGCATGTCTCTCAGCGCGCGATTCAACCCTTCCTGGAGAGGCGAAGTTGGAAAAGAAAGTACTTGAAAAGTGAGCCTGACATGCTTATACCTGATCACCATTGTCCTCACTTTGCATTTGCCTTTCCCATTCGTTTAGGAGCATGAAAGACTCAGCCACAGGAGAATATTGAAAGCAACCGCAATAACAGTGCTTACCGCAATATGTGAGGGATACGTTCTAATGTGCAAAGGCAATCTGTGAAGAGGGAGTTGGCGCTGCTTTTCGCCTGTTGCCCTGAGGGTTATCCACCTGAATGGATTGAAAAGGAAGACTGATGCAAAGGAATCTGTTGAGGAAACGATGTGTCGGCCCGCAGATGGATAACCTCGGCTATAGCCTGATTGGTTTCTCAACAGAATCAATGCACACGACAGCTCAGATCAGTTCTTGCTCTAAGCTGAAAGCTGAGCTGGGTGGTTATATACAGCCCCGATTTCAGTTTTGCGGCCACGACAACCCAACTTTCTTTCTAGGGGGTCTTTTCAAGATCTGCTTTGTGATGGTTGTGGAGGGGGTCACTGCGAGGAACGAGCTTGCTTCGAGCCTGAAATCCGCTTACGCCGTGAAAAACGGCGGCAAAAACACCCGGAAAGTCGGTTCCTGGCTGTTTTCTCTCGGGTTTCTGGTGCGTTCGGCGCGCAAGTCTGTGGAGCTGTGGTGTGTTTTCTTTTTGTTGTTGTTGGTGGTGGTGGTGGTGGTGGTGTTGGTGGTGGTGGTGTTGGTGGTGGTGGTGGTGTTGGTGGTGTTGGTGGTGTTGGTGGTGTTGGTGTTGTTGGTGTTGTTGTTGTTGTTGGTGTTTTCTTTTTTTCCGTCAAGGATGCCATGATCCGGTCTGGCGGAGCTGTGGTGTCTCTTGCGTCATGTCTCGCTGCCACCAAGTCCCTTTCTTCCTTGCGTGTAGTGTACATGCGCGGTTCGACGGCCTCATGCGCAAGGCCGGCGAACTGAGAGTCACGGTGGGAGACAAGAGGCGCATGCCGGCGCCTATTGATACCCGGTAAGACAGAATTTCCTCGTGCCAGGGAGACCCAATCAAAGATGCGTCTTGCTTGGGGGGCCAGGTGGGCGCGTGGTATGTCATTGACTGTTTCCTATGGGTGTGGACCAATCGAGATGTGCTCCGATCCAGGGCGCATGAGGAGGCATTCAGCACTCCCAAGGCTCGCGGCAGGCGCACATGGAAGAACCCAACCGCTGAAAGGCTGCAGCAGCATCTGTCAGACCCTCTGTTCTGGGTCTACATCCACATCTGCGTACGACTCTTTGAGGTCTTCCACCTTCTGCTGTCCTGGGCCGAGGGCTGCAGCTGTCATCATGGCTCATCCTGCCAGTGGGCGGTAAGCGTATATGATGGGAGATCCAGATAGGCCCTGACCCCTGCATACCTGCTTTGTCGGCGTGGTCAGGGTCGTCGTCTTGGTGACTTGGCGCGAGTCTCCTTTCACAGCAACTTGAACAGCGTGTTGGAGAAGGCCGAAAATGACGAGACCGTATGGAGACACATCAGAGAAGCGACCGATTCCTCGAATGCGACACTCAGCTTCCAGCAGCTTTGCCAGGATGTGGCCGCCATTCACGTCCGGATCGCCTCGACAACTGCACAGCGGCTGGCGTACTATTCCGACTGGCCCCGAACGCCCTTCAGGGCAGCTGTCGTCGTGCTCCCCTACATGCAGAACCCCGAGGAGCGTCAGAAACAGGACACCGGATTCCGCGAGAGGACGGACCACCACTTTCGCAGACACTTCGAGAAGGAGCAGGCAGAGATGGTTAAGGAGGCCTACAGCTCCGCCAAGAGGCTGTTCATGCAGACCATCGGCGGCAGGCGCCTGTTCAAGGACCAGCTGGGGGAGAGCAGGGCCACAGCAGAACTTCTCGCATCCTGAGAGGGCATGGGGCAAGACTCTCCTGGAGTACGCCAAGTCAGACAAGGAGTTGCCGGCTCTGGGAGACTCTGGGATGCGGCTGTAGAAAGGTGACTGGCCATCCGATGGAGTCCGAGCATGCCGTTCTTCACCGGATCCACAACAAGCAGGGAGCCGCTGCCTGGCAGGCCTCCCTCGGCTTCACATCGGGAGTTGCGTATGAGCCGGCATGGCATGCTGCCGCAAGACGCATTTGTGAAGCACTGGCATAGGGTGAGACACCATTTTGTAATGAAGATACCGAGATACTTACACGGTCTTCCTCTGTTCTGTGATCATCAGGCGTCTCACTTCGAGCGGGAAGTGCCAGATGAGCTCCTCTACAACCTGCCAGGAGGCACAGCAGGCAAGACGCGTCAGGCTTCAGCGTGTCTCCCGCCATCTGCGCATCCGGCCCCCTCGCTTACCGACCAATACCACACAAAGGCATCCAAGCTGCAGAAGATGCTTCCCACTCTAGTGCCAACAAACCATGTCCTTGTCACGCCAACCCGTGAGTACTACTACGTGGCGGAGAACGAGCACATGCGTGTGATGGCCATGACCTGTGGGGCGGACGCCGATCTCATGGTCCTGCCGCTGCAGATTGAGTCTGATGCGGAGGAGGGGGCGAGTGCCGAGGGACTGCTTCAGCTGTGGATTGCTCCACACTACAACGGCAACCAGACGGTGTGGTTGCAGAAATTCTCATTTCCCAGCGAGGCCGAAGATGTCCTCAACTCATATCTGCTACTCGACGCCAGCGCCGATCCGAGCTTCGGCCGATTTCTCCTTTCAATCGACCTCAACACGGTTGAGGGAATCATGGAGAGGGCGATAAAGGAGGTGGCGGGAGGACCTCGTGATGCAGACACGGGGCGCCTGCAGCACCCCCCCACGAAGGAGCACCTCCAGCTGTTCCTGAGATACCAGCGTGTGAAGGTGCCGAAGGGCGACCCGCCCACCGAGTACCTTGTCTTGTTGTTCGATGGAAAGCGGGATGAGGCCCAGCAAGTGTGGGAGGCGCATCAGAAGAGGCAGCAGCGGAAGAGGAAAGCCGACACGATGACCTCCGCACCACAGAACCCATCCAGCTCCCCGCCTGAGGAGCCCACTGCCACCTGCAGTGCTGGCCCACCGGAGGAGCCCGCTGCTCCCTGCTGTGCTTGCCCACCTCCTTCCCTCTCTCATCCTGAACCTCTCGTCCGGCCTGCCAAGGAGCCCGTGGCGAAAGAGAGGCTGGCGCCATGCAGGGGGGGAACAGCAGGAAAGCCCTGTTCAAGAGGATATCGGAGCACTTTGCTTGTGCTCCCGTCAATGAATCTCTTCTCTCAAGCGGGTTCCGCAAGAAGATGCATCTGTGGGCGTGGGAAGCGAGGGACTTCCAGCCGCCCTTGGAGACATGATCGCGACCCCACTACATGAGTGGACGGCTGGAGGGTTCTCGCTGCCACTTCCTCTCTTCTCCCGAGAGGTGCTTCTTGCCCACTACGAGTCTGATTGTCGCATCAGCTCGGGAAAGGATGGGCTGTACTTCGAGAGACAGAAGTCTGAGCTCTGTGGCATGTCAGCCCTCAATCACATCAAGGGAGAGCATGCCTTTGATGTGCCTCGACTGCAACTGCTTGCCGACACGCAGGCTCGAGACACGACCCGCTCAACTAGCCTGACCCATTCGAGGAAAGAGTTCTTCGATCCCGCAACTGGTATCGATGTGGACCTCATGGTGCGGGCAACGCAATCCGAGGGGGCCTCGTGTGAGAGACTGCGAGGGGATGATCGGGAGAGATTGCGTGACGACCTCTGTGCGGCGCTCAGCGATCGACAGTGTCATGGCATCCTCTTGGTTCAGAATCGCGAGACGCCAGAGGCCGCCGCTGCTGCTTCATCTGCCCAGACAGCCGTCGAGCGGGGCCGGCATTGGGTGGCACTCTGTCGGGACTCTAAGGGTCGGTGGTGGAGGGATTCGCTTGGGTGCGGCATCATCCAAGCGAGGAGGCTTTTTTCCTCCTCACAGATCCTACATACGGGATCGGCCCCATCCAGGGAGGCACACAGGCTAGACCTTCGACTCTCAGTATGCGATAGCCCTATCGCCCCTCATCCTCGCAATGCCTCGGGCCGTGATGGCCTCACCAACTAGACTCCACGATGTCTCGGGCCTCAATGGCGCCGACTGGTGGGTTTCTCCTGCGCTTGCCGCCGATGGATGAAGTTGTACGGCGTTTGACGCCGATTGGTGATTATGCCCGGCGATGCCGACTGCGCCCCGTCGAACCGTCAATCCCGCAACGCCCCGGGCCGCCATGCCCTGGTCGAACACACAATCCGCCATGCCCCGGGCCGCCATGGCCGATCGAATCGTCAATGCGCAATGCCCCGGGCCGCCATGACCTGACCAAACCGTCAATCCCGCAATGTCCCGGACCGCCCTGAGTGATTATGTACGGCGACGTCGACTTCGCCCGTCGGACCGTCAATCTTACAATCATGCCCCGAGCCCCGCCCCATGGCCGGATCGAACAATGAATCTCGCAATGTCCCGGGTCGCCATGCCCTGATGGAACAATCAATCCGCCATGCCCCGGGCCGCCGCTGTGCGTGACCCCTAAGACAGACCCGAGGATGCGTTGCGCACGTCATGGAGCCCAACGCGCTCCATGCCCTGTTTCGGGTTGCGACGATCGAGCGGTCACTCTCATGCCGTGATGGCCGCAATGCTATGGCCTCGTCAAGTCCGAGCCTCGTCGACTAGCCAGTCTCGCGATGACACCACACTTGTCGGATAGCGAGTGTCGCCATGACTTGAGCCGTGATGGCCGCTTCACACGGTCCATCTCGTGATGTTTCGAGCCAACGGCCTCGTCGAATTGACCAAAATGTTCTTTTCTGAAATGCGTGCCGCGAACCGAAGTCAAAGCACGCCTGCGTAATTTAAGGCTTCTTGTTCTCTGTTTTTTATCTATCAGCAGTTTCAGTCGCATATCTCACAGCTCATATTCACGCACTCTCCCAGATGTTTACAGACGATATGCCAATGTTCGCTATGCCATGAGTCGACACAGAAACGACGCTGCTGCCTATCTAAAAGGCCCATTAAACCTCGATTCACATGACGTCCAGACACACAACACATAATGTCCAGACACACAACACACTCTATAGGTCTTCAAACGCACAGCCTTTTACATCCGGTTCCACCACTCTCTTTTACCCATCCACGCATCAGACCGATTCCTCAACCACGTCATCGAGAAGCCTGCACGGTGGTCAACCAGCAGCGGGGCGGCCACATAAGCTGGTGTGTGTGTCCTAAAGAGCATTCTCCACCAATCGACGTCATGGTTATAAGCTTTGGCATCCACAGCAGCCAAATCGCGAAGGTACTTCGAAAGGCAAGGAAGATGAGTTTTTCGAACCACATAGGAATATGCGCCAAAGGCATATTTGATGTGAACGATGCCAGGGTCAAGTAATTTGGGAGTGCGACTTAGCTTTTGTCCTCTTGGAAGGTGGGGAACAATGTGATGGGCGCCGAGAAACAGTATCAGGGAGTTGTTTGGCCATCGCATCAGAAGCAGATCAAATTGCGTCTTCCATGAATCCTGGTTGAGTGGCTTGAAAGGCATAGCGTCATCCTCAAAAATCATGGCCACATCAACGTTGTCCTGCATAGCACGATCAACTGCACATATGCTGCTAGCAAGAATGCCAAGCCCTCGCTTTTGGGATCGAAATGTCGTTATCCTCACGATGTCGAGCTCAGGGTATGCAGTGGCCCATTCTTTCCGAAAGCGAGAGTAACGCGCCGGTTCTCCCTCAGCTTCAGGCAATGTCATAACGTACGCACGACGTCTACTGTATGGCATAGATTCATGATCCTCGGAGAATCCACAGTCCTCTTTGAAACCAGCCGGAGAGCGAATCGGCTTCACCTCTTCAAGGGCTCCAGATGCTGAAAGCGGACGTAGAGAGAATCTAGCGTATGAAGACGCCGTCGGAATTTCCAAAGTTTTTACGTATTGGCGTACTGCCGGTGGCAAGTAGTTTTGAAAAACCCAAATGCAAGTGAAAGTGATGAATGCGAAAAGTACTGGGAGTAGCAGGCTAGCGCGCCCAATTGCCATCTTATGGGGTTTCACGGAGGTGAAGGGGATTTCGGAGAGGAATGGGAGAGAGGAGGAGGGCATTGGGAGAGCGGGATGAGCTATGGCGACGGGAAAAGGGTGCATGCAGTCATGCGACTCTTGAGGGAGCTGGCAACGAGCCTGTGTAACAAGTAAAGCGCCCGCAAGCTGAGCGCGGTGCACGACCCCCCGGTTGAGCATGCGGGATCGGCATTTGGCAATTGAGCTGTTGCTTATGAGCATGAATACAGTAAGAACTGCTTCACACATTGCTCAGAACTGTAAACATGCAAAGCACCATCTGTTTGTCTTTACATCACGAACTTGCGTCGCTTGGCGATGAAGCAATGATATCTCCTTCCAAACGGTTCGTGTGCGCATGAGCCTCTGGGTGTTCCCTCAGGAATGTTTGTTACCCCCCGCCTCGCTGTTCGAGAACAGCTTTGATGCGACATCGACGGTCATCGATGTGGTGCTGCTTCTTCTGATAGCTCGAAGACTTGTAGCCGCTCACGGTCGCCCGCCAAATCTTGATACTTCCACTAAAAGTCGAGAATGGCTTCCGTCGTCCTTTGCTCTACCTCAAGGCTCGAGACCTCAAGGCTCGAGAATTGCCAGTGTATGAGTGAAAGAATGATTCATCATGACGCCTGATTGATTGTGGAAGTTCTCTACTTGGACGAGTGCACAATCTCATGTCACTTGCTGTTTTTGGCATGGCCAGCAACAGTTCGCATGACCACTAGACAAACCTACCGTCGATCAGCCTTGCCAACGCCCCTTTTCCCACTAAAGAGGTGTCTCGGCTTCAGATTGGCAATGTGCCGGTCTCCCTCCCCCTTGCGGGCGTCCTTGTTACGTGAGCGCTGCTTCAAGCGACGAATTTTCTCAGCCCGAACACGATCCTAACCGGAAAAACACAGTGCGTACGCATGATGTGATGCATTTCCTGAGCGCCGTGAATGTACCTTTTCCTTCGGCAGTCCCGTCTTAACGCGATCAGGTGCGTTCTTCTTTGCGTGTGGGTTTGTGTCCTTGCCCGTCATGTCCGACGGAGACGACAGTCTGCGCTTCTTGCCCGGCCGACGCTCGGACTCTTCTTGATCGACGGCCATCTTAACGTCTTCCGCCCCCTGCAGACACGACGCAAAGAGAATACAGACAACACGAGCTACATTGCTGTACTGCCTTACTTCTTCATCGTCAATGTCCATTTCGGCATCAGAGCGAGTGCGCTTACGATGCCCTCCTAGGCCATCCACCACGCATCAAAGAGACTGCAGATGACTGTATCCTTGTTCTTCCTTAGTTCTCACCTTCTTGCATAGTACGGCCCTCCCCATGCCCACTGGACAGTGCATGAGGAGTCTTGCGTGCGCGTCGCCTGACAACACTTGCATCTAGGCCGATGTCAGTGAGATGGCTTTCGACCTCGGACACACCAATGCCGCTCCCGCGCTGAACAGTCAAACAAACACTCGGAAGTGCACGTGGCTCTCGTGTCACCCCTCGGTAAGCGTTTGACGGAGAATGACGGATGTGTCCAACAAACACGTCGATTACACCATTCATGCGATGAACGATAAGTAAAAGAACACATGCGCTCACTCAGCATTGCATGAATGTTCTTCTCCCTTTCGTAGCTGTGTGTCATGAGAGAAAGGTACAAACACGAAGAGACAGAGAATACCTCGCAGGTAAGGAGAGGACGCACACCACAAATCATGAAGGGACGGCAGGTATTGTGCAGTGGGGATGAAATACACGAATCATGAACCATGCAGCGGATCGAAGCACAAGACCTGTGAGAAGAGACCGCAAGTATCAAGGCTTACTTGACAGCAAGACACAACAACACAAGCCAAGATCAGCTCGACAAGCTGCGGGAAGCGATCCCAAGAGCATATTGATCAAGGCTTGGCGACATTTGCCTGCTTGATGGGATGGTGAGATTGGTCACGAGACACCAAGAGTACGGGCCCGTGTTGATCGTATCGAGGCCACTGCGTGCAGCAGCAATGAAGCTGCACCACGAGCACCTGCTTGGAGGGCACCTGGCAATCGAGAGACGTATCGAGAGAGCATACAAGAGGCTGGCAAGAGAGTATTATTGGCCTGGCATGTATG